CTCAAGTGACTCAAAAGGATACAAATGTCTAGATATCACAACCAACAAAATATATACATCTAGACATGTAACTTTTGCTGAAACCTCCTTTCCGTTTAAATCTAAACTGCCTCATACATCTTCACACATATTCCAGTTCAAAATACGCCACAGCTTCTAGTTCCAACTTCTATAGTCCCTTACCAACACTCATCTTCTACGAACACCACAAGATGCTCCTCCACATAAACTTAACCGAAGCATCTCATGAGTTTGCTGCTGAAACAAATCACATAACCACAAATAATACAAACAGCTGAAACTCTTCATTATATCCCACACTATCCCCATCATTACCTCCACCAACTAAAACTTCTCAATCCAATCATCCTATGACAACAAGACTCAAAACTGGCTCTCTCAAACCAAGACAAATACTTAATCTGATTCACGATCAGGAGAAGCCCGATGTGTGCGTCTCAGAAGAACCAACTACCTATTCAGAAGCCATTAAAATACCACAATGGAGGACTACAATGGTGGAGGATTTTCTGGCTTTACAAAAGCAAGGAACGTGGGAACTCGTTCCACCTCCTGATAATACTTCAATTCTAGGTAGCAAGTGGACATACAGAATCAAATTTAACTAAATGGATCCATTGCTAGATATAAAGCAAGGCTTATGGCTCAAGGTAATAATCAGAAGTATGGCATCAATTACCGGGAAACATTTAGCCCGGTGGCTAAGTTTCCTACAATCAGAGTCCTATTGACCATTGCGATTGTTAAAAACTGGCAGTTACATCAATTAAATGTAACGAATGCTTTCTTACATGGACAACTGGATGAAGCTATCTATATGAAGCAACCAAAAGACTTTGAAGACAAGGAGTATCCTAATCATGTCTGTAGTTTAAGGAAGGTTATCTATGGGCTTAAACAAGCTCCTAGGCAATGATTCAATACATTCTCCACATATCTCAAGTCTATTGCCTTTACTCATTGAAAGGCAGACTCATCATTACTTATCTTCACTAAAGACAACATTCAAATTTATCTTGCAGTATATGTGGACGATATTCTTCTTACAGACAATGACACCACTATGCTTCAAAACATCATTCAGCATTTAAGTAACAGATTTGCAATGAAGAATCTTGGTACAGTTAACAGTTTTCTGGGTATTCAAATTGTCAAAACACTGAATTCGTTCTTCTTACATCAAGAAAACTATGCAACATCTATTCTTAAAGCTGCTGGAATGAACCTCTGTAAACCGCTTTCAAATCCATGCTGCACCAAGCCTCCACAGTTTGTTCCAGATGATCCGATATTAGCTGATTTGCATGCTTAAAGAAAAATTACAGGTTCATTACAATATCTAACTATAACAAGACCGGATATCTCTTATGTTGTGAATGTTCTATGCCAACATATGCATCATCCTACATCTCAACACACGTACCTACTCAAACGATTGCTAAGATACATTAAAGGTACCATACAGTTTAGACTTCCGAATTATGCTGGATCGCTAGAACTTAAATCATTTTCAGACGTTGATTGGGCAAGAGATCAAGAAAATCAGCATTCCACATCAGGATATTGCACTTTCTTAGGAAATACATTGATATCCTGGAGAGTTAAAAAGATTGTTGCTCGCTCATCTACAGGATCTGAATACAGGGCATTAGTGACAGCAGTTTCTGATATCATATGGCTTAGGCGGCTGATGCAAGATTTTCAAATTAATCTTTCTTCTCCAACAGAACTTAGTTGTGATAACAACTTGGCTATTGCACTCGCAAATAATCTGGTTTTTCATGCTAGAACTAAACATATCGAAATCGATCATCATTTTATTCGTGATCATATTAACTCTGGAAACATTACTATATCTGTGATTACTACACAAGATCAAGTAGCAGACATATTAACTAAGCCTCTGTCAACTCCTAGATTTCATCTTCTTCATACCAAGCTTACTGTTCAGAATACTCCATCAGCTTGAGGGGGAGTGATCGCAGAAACGTAACAATAATGTAATACAATTGTTGTAACACGTTCTCTTACACGTGTACTGATATCATTGGTTTGTAAGGTCTATAAATGCAACTCTTTAACAGGGTACTAGATACTCAATACAAGATACACTTTTGAGATCATTCTCTGTTTTGAGTTGTCTTTAATCTCTATTGAGCATTAATATGAGAACAACTTAGAAAGAAAATTTCCACTTGAATCTTTGGTGATGGTTATTTATTTGGCAATGAGAGCTACTGTATTTTGAAATTTCTCATAAGAGCCAACAAGGAAATAAAAAGCACGAAATCACATGAGCTTGTTTATACCATTGAGTTTCAATAGAGCAAGTCATTTCCAAACATCAGAAAAACGAAAAGTGAAAACAAGTATTTAGGAGATATTCAAGTTTTACAGTCAGTGTGAGGAGAAAGTCATTCACAAACAACGGATAACGAAAAAGAGAGTACCGAAGCATTTAATGAATCCTAGAGTAGAGTTAGGTCCACGACAAGACAAGTGAGAAAGGTTCTCGACAAGTGGCTAAGGTGAGATGCTCATCAACACTGCTGGAAAGATTGCTCAAATCGACACAATGCGCAGCAGCGCGTGGTGCAGGAGCAGAAAGATTTATATGGTAGAAGAGGCGCATAGCGAGCGGGAGTAGCGCAGTAGGATGCACGGCAGTGTGTGCACGCTGTTATGGGCTAGCGACAGAGCGGCGAGACAGATTGTCCCGCGAAGTGAAGGGCGTCAGCAGCCTAGCAGGGGGTGGTGTTAGCAGCGGGCAGGATGCAGCGCAGCAAACGCAGGTTGCGGGGGCAGGCGAGACGATGAAGCCAAGAACAAGGGAATGCAGAACAAAAAAAAGTAATAGTTGAAAAAATCAAAAATAGGAATAAATTCATTGAATTTAAAATAATATTAAATACAAATAACGGAATAAAAAATAATAATTGAGAATATTCTCTTTTTTAAAAAAATATATATTATGTAATAAAATATAATAATTAGTAAATTATTAATGTGATAAGATTAGAGCAGCACCGATGACGAATAAGATTAGAGAGAGTTTTATCTAATATGACTTGGTAATATTAAACATCAGATTTTTGATGATCCATTTAGAAGAGCATGTGTATTAGACTATGTTGCACCGATACACCTATTTATTAAGGCGTGCTGTATCCGATACACTGATATGCCTCCGATACGTCACTGATACGTGTCAGATACATCAAAGCCGTATCCAATTAAAATACTATTTAATTTCAAAAGGACACCGTTGAAAAAAAAAATCCAAAAAAAAAAAGACGCATCGTATTTACTTTCGGGGCTTCGAGCAAGGTTCTCTGATTTTCCGAGATGGATTTGAGTCTCCTGATAATATGAGAATATTAGAAATTACTAATCTTTAACTTGATGAGCCTGAATTATAAGCTATGATATTTATTGAAGATGAAATAAAAGTTCAAAGACACACCAATGAAGAAGCTAATCATACCATTCCTTCTATTAAATAGTTGAAATTTCATGTGCTAGATAATTTATGTTTATGCTTTTGTTGTTGTACTATACATTTAATGCTTTCTTATATTTTGATATTATAAGCTACAAGACTACAAATGATGTTGTTGTTATTGTTGTTGTTTTGGTAATTTCAAATATTATGCTTTTATTGTTTTCTTAATTTTTATGTATGATTTATAAATTATAAATTTCTATAATGAAAATTATCAAAGAAAATATTGCACAAAGAATATTTAAATTGAAACATGTCGTAAAATCCCACATCCCTCATTTTGACATCACAACTTAGATAAATTACAAAATTAATCTTAGCAGCCAAGCGATTTTCTCTAAGGTTAAATTCTATTAATAAATCTTTTTTCGTTTATAAATTACTCCCATAAGAGCATTATTCTTCAATTATTCAAAGAGCCAGTTATAGAGCTTATTATCATAGTTTCAAGGACCTGATTCACTCTTGAATTTTTGCAGAAGAATTAATTCCAAGTATACACTGCAACATCCTGCTGTAGCGCCCTTCAATGTTGTATGAGTACTGAAGAACTGCAGTAGATAATCATCATACTTGATCTTATTTCAACCATACAGGTTGCTACAGGAGGTGTTAATTCAAATTCTAGTCATATCCACTGATTTTGTTTGTATTTTGTGGCATTTCATTACAACATCAAGCCTTTGTCCCACTACGTGGGATCGGCTACATGAATTCTTTTTCGTCATTGTGTCCGGTTAAAAGTCAAATTCTCATTTAAATCTAATAAAGAAATATCATTTCTAATATTTTCTAACCAAGTCTTTTTATGTTTACCTCTACCTTTCTTAATATAAGTTGAATCTAATACCTCAACTTTTCTAGCCGGGTCATCGGAAGGTCTCCGTTTAATGTGACCAAACCATCTAAGGCGACTCTCTCTAATCTTATCTTTCACTGGAGCTACTCCAACCTTTTCACGTATATGCTCATTTCGTATCATATCTCTAAGAGTCAAGCCACTCATCCACCTAAGCATCCTCGTCTCTACAACACTTAACTTAGTATTATGCTTATCTTTTAATGGCCAACATTTGGCACCATAAAGCATTATAGGTCTCACCACCATCTTATAGAATTTTAACTTAAGTTTGAGAGGGACTTTTTTATCGCACAACAAGCCCGATGCATTCCTCCACTTCAACCATCCAACTTGAATTCTATTGATAATATCTACATCTATTTCGCCATCACTTTGAACAATTGATCCAAGATATCTAAAACATGTACTCTTATTAATGACTTGATGGCCCAAAGTCACAATCCCCTCACTTGGTCTATTGCTACTAAAATTACACTCCATCTTTTTGTGGCATTTCATTATATTAATTTTATACACCTGTTATATTTATCCATTTTCTACACTTTCTTCTATATACACAAATCATCCAAGTGACAGTCCAAAAATAAAAAAATATATATATACAAAAATAAGTACCTTGTCAGAAAATTCAGGGAGATTTTCCTGGGGATGCTCTTTGAAATACCTTGAGAAAAGATTTTTGTCCAACTTGAAGCATTAAAAAAAAATCATAATCAGGAAAATGCACAAAATCATGAACAAATATAAAATAATTTAAATTTGAACCTTTGATTCATCCACTCTGATAGGAAGATTTAGGAGATACTGCCCATGGTGTGCTACATCCATCTCCTCATTTGTGACCACTTTGAAATTGCTCTTTTCCATTACCTGTGTCATCATAGGAAACAAATATGACAAAACTCAGAGCTAAATCATTTAAACGCCAATGAAAATAACATTCCAGGAAAGTTTCTTTATGGAATCCAGATTTATCTCAGTATTTGAAACCTTACAGATTATTGCAAGGCTTAACAACAACAATATCAGCATTTGGGGAAGAAATGAATTGTTTCTTCTCCCTTTTATGATGTTCAATGATTGAGCTAAAAGACTAACGTACCTTAAAGAAGAATCTTAGGAAGTTCTGCTCAAGAACATCAATCTCATCTGAGCGCAAGTTTTGTTGCTCCAATTTCTCAGCACCGTTAACAGGGTTGAATAAGGTATAAAGTTGCTGCATATAGACATCCTTGTCGTTACCAAATCATAGAGCAAATATAATCGTTTAAAACTGAGTGGCATAATAATTTTCTTGCATGTTTTCAATGTTTTAAGTTTAAAACTTGAAATATTTATTTGAATTCCGCGTCTTAAATTTATTGTTTAGTCGAATGAATTGTCTTTATTTTTCAGAAATAAAACTTATAAGACAAAATAATTTCTTTTGAAGTGAGGAACCCCTAAATAAAACAGAAATTGCACAACATGATCAACTGGTAATACACATCAATCACCCACCAAGAAACTCGTCCTTCTTATGGGTCCAATCGAGGATTCCTCATCAAGCTAGCTCGACACTCACCGCATTCCTAGACCACCATCATCTCAGTCACTCATTCCCTCTCAAATGATCCTTCTCACTCAAGCTTGCTAAGCTCATATTGTAATAACCCGAATTTCTAAAATAATTTTTTTAATGAAAATTTTGAATTTCAGCATCGTGCCTTGCCAAAGAAGAAAGAGAGGGAGGAGAGAGAAGTTTGTTCGGAGCTTTTTCATCTGTCAATTTTGTTTAGAGATTTTTTCTATTTGTTGTAAGTAACTCAAATTCTTTGAAATGACATTTGGGTTACTTACAATGAATAGAAAAAATCTCTGAACCAAATTGATAAACGAAAAAGCTCTGAACAACCTTCTATCTTTTCCTTCTCTCTATCTTCTTTGGCAAGGAACGGCACTAAAATTTAGATTTTTCATTTAAAAAATTATTTCAGAAATTCGGGGGGAGCAAGCCAAGCAAGGCTATAGACAGAGGACCATGGGATCTAGAGAATACAACGAAGGGTCTATGAACAGGACAGATGGAAGAAGAGTGGATGAAGATTAAAGAAGACCTACACAATATGCTATAACAACACTGCCACCCGTATGACCTAGAGTTTACAGTCTAATCCAACAGAGTGATATAAATGCATCTGGAGGATCCACTGGTAAAACTTTAATTCATATAGTTATAATTGCATTTCAATTGATTTATTGATAATTATTGCATGGTATATTGAGTGATTGAATGACATATTATAGTGTGATTGCTTGAGTAAATTCATGATTGATTGAATGCAACGAATCATAATGATAAGTTAGTAATTAGTATTGATTTTAAATGAATGTAAATGAATTTTTTTTTGTTTTGAATTGTATTGATCTTCTGATTATTATATATTGATTTTTGGATAATGAATATAATGAGGTATGCAATTGTTAGTTGCTTTCACTGGATAGAAATTTATTATTTTGATGATTTATAGAAGCTCTGGTTGATTAATTAAAAATATAAAATAGATAATTCTTCCAAATTTAATTTTGGGGCATTACACAGCTAAAGGAAAGGCTCCTAACTATAGTTGCATCTCATCTCACCGCAACCATTCAACTCGATGCCTCTTCCTTCATTGTAACATCTCGCTCACTTCTCTCTTCTCAAGCAATCCGAGATCTCTCACACATGTCATCATTAACATCATCAAGCTCGCTATCCGCATGGCCCCTCATCTTAACGCTAGCCCACAGACTTGCTCCAGCCTACTCAACGCTACTGATTTCATCCAAGGACCACTCATAAAGTCCTTCCCAACTTTCCCCCTTTCAGCAAATCAAAGGTTACCATGTGTCTTGGGTAGTATGTGTAGCATTATAGTTTTTTCTTTTGTGTAGCCCTCAAAATCCTATTAATAATGGGTGATGTAGAGCAGTTTGGGACTTTTGACTGATTCTAGTGGATTCAAGGTTGATTTGAGACTCATAGTCTTCTTGAGCATTTTGCTTATTCTCTCCTTCTCTCTAATCTACTCTCCACTCTCCACTCTCCATTCTCACACAAACTCTAGCTCACTAGCTCATCAAGTAGGCCTACTAGTAAAGTCAAGGGTCATACACATACATAATTGAATCCAACAATACAAGAAATTAGATAATAGCAAGTTTGACCAAATTTCAATTACAAATTATGGAGGAGGCCTCCTCAGGAAGTTGTTAATCAAGACTTGCACCACAGAGAAAGAAGTTGCATCCAATTAACATATAGAAGTTTGAGAGGAAATTAATAAGTTATGAGCAATTGAATGAGCTTTTGCATGCCTCCATATTCCTACCCATAATCACAAAGAGACTCAAAATTAGCAGCCTCACAAATTTTTGTAATCAGTTACATTTCAAAAATCAAAGATTACCATCTCAGAATCTAGAAATTCAATAATGCTTGAATCCCTATATAGTTCCAGGAAGAGTAAGCTTTTGATTTGGTTTCAACCCATATGAAAAACAGTGCTGCAAGTACTAGTCACCTTCCTATTAGGAATCTGAAGAATATGCATGATCGACATGCATTCAAGTTTGGCTTCAAGAGGAAAAAATAATTCCAAGAGGCAGGCGATCAACGGTGGAAGAAATAGTACCATAATAGTGATTTCATTAACAGTCATAATGCAATAACAGAGAAAACTAAAGAGCCTACCAAAAAGCCAACAACATAATAAAAAAATCAATCACTGGCCCCAAGAAACCAGTGATTGAACTCATGGGCGGATTCATAGAAGGGGCACTAGGATCGTGCTTCCACTGCACTGCCCAGCTCAAAAGCAGTTAATAGAATAGTTGTTTTATTTATTTGTTTATTTTATAAATCCTTAACACAAATCCCTATCCAAGAACCTAGCCGCATACACAATACTGCATCTAGCATGAAGTCGTTGTCATGCTCATGCCAGCCATCGCATTCGCACTTGCAATTGTTGTGCCAGCTCCCAACCAGAGCTAACTGAAAACAGCACAAGGAACTAAACAAAACCAACACAAACTTATTCTATATAAGGATCCATAATATGTATGTTTTTTTTGGGACAAAGACAAAAAAAAAAGAGAGAAAAATATAAGTAAAACAACTAAGGCAACTTCAAAAACTTAGAATTCAATATTCTCATCTTAATTCCCACATATTGTATAATCTCAACAAGAAATAACTTCCAAATTTATATTAAACAAAAACAATATCATTAGTATCAAAGTATACATACAATAGCATAAAACTCCCAATCATAATTTGAATATTTTTACACTACCTAATTCAAATTTTTATTATATTAAGTAATCAAATGTCCCTTGATCTTAACTCAAGACACACTCAATACCTAATCTACATGTGCATCACAAAAATCTCAAAAACATTATTAAAAAGTATTGCTTTACTTTTGAAGAATATCTATACAAAAAAGTTAAATTAAGCTTTACTTTGCTTAGTGACCCTATTAAAGTGAAAGAGAGTGCAATACCCTTTTATTTGGAAAGGGTGAGGATATGTAACCTAATCAAAGTGGACCCCAAATTAACTTATTTTAGATTTCTTGAAGAAGTGAAGCTTTACTTCTTATTTAAATCAAGCACTTGAAGCATCGGTTGCATTAATAAGTCTTTCTTAATATCATTAAAACTGTAATAAGTAGATTTTGTCCATTCAACCTCTTATCTTCTTTAGGCACTTTGTAATTTGTTCCATACAATACTAGAACTTTTTAATTAATCTCCTATAGAGAGTAGCCATATCATAAAAACTTTGAATCTCTTGTGTGTTAATATTATTAAATACTTTGGCTTTATTAATATCAACAAATAATCCACCACTTTGCAGAATAAGTTCTAAGAATATTATATATCACATAGTACTTTTTAATATTCAGATATAACTTTTCAGCATATAATTTTTCAAGCTCTTTTTAAGATGAAATAAATGATATTATATCATAATATTATGAATCAGAATATGATCAAATATACAATAAAAATTTTCAATAAACAAAAATTTCAAAGAAAAGCTAAAGAAAAATATTCACAATTCCCATAACATTATTTGCTTTCAAATAAAAGCTAAAGAACAATACTTATGATTCTCATAATAGAATTTTGTGCATTAATCAATCCAAAAGACATTGTCATTCATTCATACAAATCATCTTTAGTTTTAAAAGAATTTTTTCATTAATCCTTCTCTCTCACTCTTATTTGATGGCAATAACTCTAATTAATTTCTAAAAATACGATAACTTCAATCATAATATCCAACATATCATCCAATTAATTATCCTACTATCCACACACACAACCTCTAACTATCATACTTCTTAGGTATAAAAAAGAAAACACAAAATCCTTTTTGTTTCACCAAATGGGATAGTAACACCAAACACTACGATACAAATAATGCATTAATTATATTCAAATGGAAGGAAAACAACTTAGTCTATAAGATATTATAATTAAGTACTAAAGAGTGGAATAAAATATCAGAATAACACCATACCATGAGATCCTCAAACTGCAGTAGATACCAAGCCCGGATAGTGTACTCCATTCGTTTGCACAACTTCATGAAATCTGTTCTATCTGCAGGTTGCTCTGTCATGGAAAACTAGGTGCAAAAATTTTAAAATCTAATTCAGAAACTTTAGTAAAGGGAATTAGACTGGGATGAGCATTATCGAACACTAGAATGACGTGATAAGAAATGTGTATAACCTATAAGGTAGGAGAGCTTCATCACAAGCTTGAGTTTGAGGATTGGGATCACTGACTCTCTCTCTAATTTGATGACTTCCTTCATCTTCGCCAGGGCCGCAAGAGAACCCATTGCCGAGGAATGATTGAATTATGAGGACGAGACTGAAGACAATGATGGATATGAGGAGTGATCTATTCATTTAAATAGAACAGTATTGAGAATGGAGAAAAGGGGAAAGTGAAGAGAGGAATCGACAAAGAAAGAGGTTGCGTGGCCCGAGCTGCCTCCTTTTCGACCGCTAAATTGGTTTGCCTTGGTGAAGACGACTGGTAGTAACCAGCGACACCTCTCTCTCTCTCTCTCTCTCTCTCTCTCTCGCTCTCGCTCTTCGGATAAGTGCCAAGTAAGCGCGATGGCTACATGCCATTAACAAATTAATGATTTCCAGCGTCTAACGCTTAATTGATTTCCTATTTTATTTTTTTTTGTCATTAACAAAAATGAGGTTTCATGTGTAGATGAGTTACTCTAAGGGCATCTTCAATCGAAAATCTCATTTTTCACTCTAAAATGTTGTGATTCATCTCCAATCGAACTTCATTTTGCCCTTTTTTGCGAAGTTAACGGTCGTTCTCTTCTTTTCGGACGTTTCTTCGGAAAGTTCGGTAGAGATAGAAAAATGACAAAGATGAACAGTGCAACGCCAATATTGGCGTCCCACTGTTCACCCGCAGCTAAATAGCGGTTTACTATTCGACTAGAGCTCGCGAGCAACACCATTCAAGCGTTTGAAATTCGATTGAAGATGCCCTAAAAGAACTAAGAGGAAGAAGCTACAAGAGTAGCAGCCAAAACTGAGCCATGCACGATACAAATGGACCAAAACTTTATATATGAAAGATATGAAGAATAAAATTATAGTATACTAAAACTAAAACGGTAAACAGAGCAAAAAGAAATTCGATCCGAGAACGTCAAAGTCAGGATTCTAATAATTCTATCAAAATCCATCAGCAACAAGAAGCTAGGGATGATTCCCCTGGTTGCCAGAAAGGCCATACGAGAGGTAAAAAAGTAAAGAGTTAGATGATTATCTTCATCGGCCTTAGCAAGCACAAATCCCACCGGAACTTAAAAATATATCATAAAAAAAAACCTTCATCACAGAAATGCCAGATTAAGCCTAAAAGAAAAAGAAGCAACTGGTTCCAACCACCAGCACATCAAAAAAAAAACAAACAGCAGCCAGCCATTACAATTGTAACAAACAAACACTATTGGAACTAAACCACATCATTTATATTCGTTCACTTCATCCACTCAGTGGCTTTGTGTAAAGTCCCAGAATTAAATTTGAATTAATTATTTATTTTATCTTCTTAATTAATCAACTAGAGCTTCTATAAATCATTATAGTAATACAGCAATATCCAATGAAACCAACTAACAATCACATGCCTCAAAATATTTCACTATATACACAAAATAAATATATAATAGATAGAAGATCAATATAGTTACTACTCTACCGCAAACTCATGAATACAAAGGAATAAGAAAAAATATAAACAAAATCAAAAGAAAACCTGATGATCTTTGTCAATCTCACTCTAACTGATCTTGACATCTTCCCTGATCTGAAATCATGAACAATCTCATAACTTAATGAGTATAAAAGTCCAACCAGTAACAAAAACTCTATCACTATTTTTAATGCAAATAAAAGAATTAATGTGTATGTTCAATTCCAATTAATATCAATCATCACTTATTATGAGCAAGAAAATCTAAAAAATTAATAATAAAATCAATATGATCAATAAAGTCATCAAATAAGTCATGATAGTATGTTATGCTATATTGTATTAATATTAATGTCAATACTATTGCAGTTATATCTATCAATCTGTTAATGTAAAGCAAGAAAGGGCAATCAAGTTTTCTTTTAATGAGGATTCTTAAGTGGCATTAGATATTTATATTAAAATAATAATATAATAATTATATAATTTAAAAAGTTTTTAATATAAAATTTGTATAAACTCTTTTGGGGCTTTAAAATTGTAAAAGAAATTTTCATAAAATATGTTATTTTATTTAAAAAATAATGATGAAATCAACTTGTAAAATGGATCCCTGATGGTCTCAAAATTCCAACTATTACCGACATGTATCAATTTTTTAAGAATTTACATCAGTGCAAAAAAATATAAAAAATTTATTATAATTAAAACATAATAATATCTATCTTATGACAAAGACAATTTGTGATTTGGACTTATAATAACTCCTAAACAAATTATTTGTTTGGGTCAAAATATAGGATATTACACTTTGGGACAAACAACCTTCTTAATTTTGAGGGAAGTGGTGACAACACTAGCATAATTAGAACCAAACTTTTGATTACTTCTCTCCCTCCAAATATGATAGATTGTGTAGCAAATAATCAGATGGTTGAAACATTTATAGTCATGTGACATAGAGGAGTAATCTTTCTCATACTTAAGGCCTCATCTATTTTTAAAACACCAACCAAAGCAATCCAAGCAAATATACATAATATCTCAGAGCAAAATGTTTGTGTCAAGCATCATCATAGGCACAAATTAGTAGTGTTATGATAGCCATAAAGAAAGTTTTTGAAAGCACCAGCATTGCCATTAGAACCAATATTACCAAAATTCCAAGAGATGCAGTTAGAAGCAGCTTCGTGAATTGGGATTGCATTAATAGCTTCAGTTATGTTATTGTGGAGAGAGTTAAACAAACACTAATCATCTCCTATAATAAGAGATAAAACAGTTGCATTTGTGTGTGTGTGTGGCGAGTGGGTGGTGAGAGAGTAAATAATGAATATCAGAAGATCTAACAAGGCATTTCCCACGGTACCAATGATCCCAATAAAGAGAAACAGGCCATGAATTGGAAATAGAAAAATTGACTCTGTTAGACACCTTGGCTAGTGATGCAAATATTCTTCCATAATTTAGAAGCTCTTTGAGGAAGAGGCTTCCAAGGAGAAATATATTTAGTTCTTAACCAGCAATAGTGGGGAGAAGAGAAATTGTAGAGCCTATTAATAATTGTGCAATTGAAGGCATACAAAAGGGTAGAAAAATCAAGAAGCCCAATGCCACCTCAGGTACGTAAGTTTGGAACAATGTGTTTGAATCTTGAGGTAATCACAAATGGTTGTGGGGAAATTTTCGTTTATTAATTTTTGAAACTGGTAAAGGCTACCTAATTGACACAAAATCTTATATTTCTTTAGAGTTTGAGAGTTTAACTACCATTGAGAGAGTAGTTGTGCAATTGTGATCCTTACAGCTCTTTGCTTGATATCAAATGGTTAATAATGATCAATTCAAAATATTAACATTAATATCACTGGCTGGTGACGACAATTAAAACACATTGAAGTATTGAATTTCATTTTGTGTCAGATATTTAAATGTCATATTAATGAATAAATACTAAACTATTGGCCTTAATTTGAAGGATAAAACTTTTGACAAAAATAGATTTGATCAATGGTGTGTTAAGCCCAATATTTGTCTATCTTTGGACTTCTTAATAAGAGGTATCAAATTTGATGGTTAAGCTAAGATCAAGTACTTGATATGATTTATAGCTCACATAGATTTTGAATACTAAACCAATGGAGAAAAAGGATTCATGTAGCCGACCCCACGTAGTGGGATAAAAGCTTGATGTTGTTGTTGTTGTTATTGTTGTATAGATTTTGAATACTACATGTCATAGTGATTGATATAGAGAGAGTTCTCATTTTGTCAAGTCATGTGAGATTATTGAGTTGTCTTAAATTGTATAGTTAAAAAGCATATTGATGTAGAAATACCAAATAGTTAGCCTAAAATCTTTGCTTTGGGGTGAGAAAATGAGTTTAACTAATATTATAACAAATAACTTGATTGAGATAGGATTCGTTTGGAACAACTTTGTTATTATTATCTAAAGCAGTTTTTAGTAAAAAAATTACTTTAGAAAATAGTAAGAAAGTTGTCGTAAGCATAAGTCATTTATATGAATTGTGGCTTCCACGAGCCTTTAATACATTCTACTATATAGTTAAGTATTGTTTATAATTCCTAACTTCCAAGACTGTATTCTCGAAGCATAAAACTTTATGATGTTGAAAAAAATATTCATTTGAAGGAGAGAGTAGATAATTATTATGAGGGAAATATTATAAGGCACAAGAGTGTTGAGTTTAGTCTCACATCAAATGATAAAAATATGTAAGCATAAAATATCAAAAGATTGACCCTCGTCTACAAGCTTAAATCTTTTGGTAAAAAATGAGTTTAGCTACTAATGTAGTAGGTCCAACTTTTTAATCTCTCATTGATTTAGGCTTCGTTTGGGACGGCTTTTTTTCTGCTTCTTAAAGCAGCTTCTTAATACAAAAAATTTAATTTTGTACTAAAAAGCTACTTTAAGAAGCAATAAGAAAGCCGTCCCAAACGAAGCCTTAATCTCTTAAAAGTGGTAACATAATTGATGGCTAGTATTCACATGATTTGTACCTTCTATAAGGCTACGTTTGGGATGACTTTCTTATTATTTTTTAAATTAAGTAGCTTCCTAGTTATTTTTAAAGCAACTTTCTAGTACAAAAACTTTGTAAACTAAAAAAATAAATACTAAAAAATTATTTGAAGTAGTAAGGAAGCCATCCCAAACGAAGCATAAATCTTAAATGCCTTCTATCACATTTGATTAAAATTCAAGAGCAAATAACTACCACAATATATTGACATGATTGAGTGAGCTAATGATGCATGAAACTTTTTGATAAAACAAAAATCATTTGAATAAAAAATAATTATCACCATGAATTTAAGAGCTCCCACAAGAGAGAGTGTAAAGATAAATAAAAGTATTAAATTTAATCTCACATATAATGCATGAAAAATATATTTGTATAAAAAAGCAAAGAGATTGGCCCTCTCTCATAAAACCCAAAGCTTTCAAATAGGAGCGAATCCAGCATCTTTTCTTAGGGTTGGCAAAAAAAAATTTAGTAGGGTATGGGCAAAAATGATTAGGATTGATAAAATTAGGGCAAAACTTTTTTTAAGAGGGGGCAAAATACCCAAAATACTCAAAATATTCCAAAAAAATACCCTCTAAAATTATAAAAAAAAAAAAATTTGAGGGTGGGCATTTGCCCCCCCTCACTACCATTGGGATCCGCCCATGCTTTCAAATCAAAATTATACTTCATCATAAATATATGATGCTCATTTGTAATCACTTTTGATTCACACTCCTGAACCGTCCAATGAAATTGTCTCTCTTTTGAGCTATTTAATTTGCTAAAAAAGGAATGCAAAATAAATTGACATACAATGTAAAAATATATATAATATATTTAAAATGTTTAAAATTATTTGAATGAATGAAAATTAAATGCAGGTGATAATTATTGATATTATTATTATTATTATTAAAGTAAAATAAATTGCAATGTAAAACTCAATGATGATAATGATTGGTGGCAATAAGCGGGCAGCCGATGGTGATGGATGGCTAGTAGTAGCAATGGCTAGCAACCACCATAGGCGACAACCACAATGAACGTGGTTCATGATGGCATCAAGTGGAGCAACATGGCTTTTATTCTCTCTTATACATAAGGTGTGTACAAGAGAGAAATTAAAAATTAAAAAATTAAAAAAAATACTTCATGATTTCACTTGATTGAAGTCCGGATGAAAAACTGCGCCCAAACTCCGTACATAATAATCTCTCCATGACCACAAGCAGAAATCACCATTTCTTCTCAGGACTGCAAGCTTCAAAGCCATCTCAAAAATTCAAAAATCAAAACATTCAGCTGGAATCTCAGATCTATTAACAAAAAATAAATTTTATATCATAACGGTAAATTTTCAGTTCAAACTTTTAGAAAACTACAACGAAAACAGGAACCTACATAACGTTCTTTAATAACCAGGCTCAATAAAAAATAAATAAAACATACCACTCGAATAACAGCCATGGCTGTCACTACCAAGGTTTCAAGTCACCCACTGGACCCGCAGTCCAGTTCAACTTCAACTGTCCAGGTTTCAGGTAAATGATCTCGTCGTGCGGGAGCTTGCGAGCAAGCCCATTCAATACCTGATGGAAGGCGTCACCAGGTTGAGCAGGTTGGGGGAAAAGCATCGCCTGCTTCATCGAAGGGTTGGCGAGCAGTCTCTGCTTCCTCAATATGACCTCTGCAGGAATAGATGTAAGAATTGTATCCAGGCTCGGGACATCCTTCTCCGCGACAAAGACACCGATCTCCTCCCATGGGATTGCATCGGCAAATGGTAGCACAATGTCATCTGCAATGATAACTGGAATGCAGCCAAAGATCACAGCTTCGACCAACCTGGGACTCCATGGTGCCCAGCCTAATGGGCAAAGGCAGAAGATAGCACGTTGCATGTCTTCATAGTAGGTGGTTGGATGCTCTGTGGAAATATCAAATAGCGGATTATCCTTGAAGTTCTCCCAAACTGATGCCCTTGCACCCCTGCAGATGTAGATTAAATTCAATCGGGGTCGGATCCAGACTTAATTTTCAGGGGGGCAAACTAATAAATAAAAGTGTAGAGTTTTTTTTTCCATAAATATCCTTATAACTATTTTTTTTTTCGAGGGCGCTGCCTCTTGACCTCTATTTGTTCATCGTTGTACGCTTCGCAAATATGTCAGGGGTCCAAGGGAGCAATGCCCCTGACGAGGTTCGACCTGCCTAGTCATGTCATGGGGTCAAGGGGCAGCACACCTATGGGGGTTTTGGGTAGTAGCGCCCTCGGAACAAATCTTAGTTGTAAGGAAATTTTTGGATTCTCTTTACTATTTCTCTTTCTATTTGGTTCATAGTTCCCTAACAATAACATCTCTACACAATGTGTTTAATTATGTTGGGCAATTGCCCAAAGACCATAGTATTTTAAAACTTTTTGGTTAGAGGAGGGGGGGGGGGGGGTGTTGGCCCAAAAACTCTTTTCATCAACACTACACTATAAAATTTTATGTGTTCTTTCTTATTACTTTTATCACATTTTATTTTTGCACATTTTTGTGATATGATATGTGGTCGAAATGTCTATTTTTTGTTATTATAAAATTATTTCAATTTTTGTATCAAAAGGTTTAAAATTCTTGTTTGATTAAGAAATTTTTTAAACTTCCATTTCACCCCACCCCCCCCCCCCCCCCCCCCTCAATTTAAAATCTGAGAAAAGGTTATGTGACTTGATTCGAACCAATTAACATCAAATATTTAAGCTCGCCAATGGATTTACAACCAACCATCTAATGGAACACATGGTGTCTTACCTTGCATAATAACCGCCCTCGGGATCATTTCCAACATCATAAAACAAACCTCTGAAGTACACAAAGATTGACCGTGGAATATCTGGAGGAATCAAGTGGGCTTGCATCTTCTGCGGTGGAGCATATGGAGGGATGGTGATGGAGTTGTCTTTCAAACAAACATGGTTCCTCTGTCCAAAGGTTTGAACCAAGGTTGCACGCTGCAGCAATGGCAGAATTCCTCTTTCAATGGCTTTTTCTTCCTACACATCCAAAAATGAAAAAGTTAATAATATCATAGACTCTAAAGATGGCCCATGCTGAACACTTTTTGCAATGGCAAATAAGGCGAAGAGGTTTACACAAGTCATTTTCCTTAACCTGATAATGGAAGCATGCTCCGAAGTCATGAGGTACAATGAAGAAATGGTCTGCACCTTCTGTCCTATTCCAGTAAGGCCAGTTAGAGGAGATCAATTGTATTGCACTTCTCATCATTCGTGGTGATTTGAAAGGCAAAGGGAGGCCATTTGGCGTTAGATCACAAGTAGTATAAACAGGTGTGTAGAACCAATCAGCTTCGTCGGGGTTCAGAGTACGGACTGGACTGGACATCAAGAAACGGTGCATGAAGATCTCAGCAGCAAACATGTGGGTGAGGCATCTTGGATCCTTCTGCAGTATCTTCTTGTTGTATTTGCTGGGAAGCTCATATACAAACACCTTCAATCTTCCAACAGGATCATCTTCAAGAACGTCACCAGCACTACCTGCATTAAAAGGACTAATATCACTACACGAATAACCGTAGCCACCTTATGCTCTTAAGAAACACAAAATGCAAGTTGATAAAGATCCATGAAGCAGACTATCTCAATATATCTGCAAAGGTGATGGGGGGGGGGGGGGGGGGGGGGTGGGGCTGGCCGCTAAGGTTGAGGTGGCAGGTGTGATGGAGGCTTAGAGGTTGACAGGTTCAGCGATGGCGTTATCAGCTTGTCCAGCTTCTAGACATCTATAATTCTCAGAAGCCATGAGAGGTGATTGAAGGTCAGGAGGAAGGAAAACTTATTTTGGGATGTTCTTGGCTGCTATTCTTCAAGGATCTGATAGGCTGAGTTTGGTTGGAAAACTAAGTTGGTAGTTTGAAAAAAAAAATAGCTGGGGTGGTAATACTTCGGCCATAGCTCTAGCTAATAACGCGGGTTTTAACTCAAGAACAAAGCACATTGAAATTGATTTTCACTTCATCCGGGAACATCTCAAGTCTGGTGCCATAAAAATCACTCATTTCAGCTCGAAGGATCAAATTGCAAATATTCTCACAAAATCTTTTTCAGCAACTCGCTTCACCGATCTCCGCCGCAAATTAACTATTCAACCATGAATGCTTAATTTGAGGGGGTCTGTAAGCACATCATTACACGGCAGCCTGCTTACGTGTCCTATTCCTTGTATTATCTTGTATTCTATTTCATGGCCCTTACGGTCTCTTTAAATAGCTCTTGTACTGCCTCTTGTAAATATATTCAATTACTATTTTCCTCTGTCTCTATCTCCATTCTTTCTATCATTTCATTTCCTTCCTCGCCAGCGGGTCTCTCAGTGAGTTTGGTGGTAACAAATTTGTGGAAGAGGAGACCAAAAGTGATGCTATCTTTGGTAACTCTAGTAGTTCTAGAAGGGGTGATTTGAGTTTCGGGAGATGCACTTAAAGATGGTGGTGTTGCTGGAATACACAGTGGAAATAAGCTGAGGGTTTGTATCCGTTGAGGGTGGCAATATGTTAAGCAAAACTATATCCCTTTGGATTCAAATATGGTTCAAAAACAAAGTCAAAAATAGCTAAAGAATTCAGAAGAACACCCTCAAGACTACAAAACAGTTATTAAAGTCTCTCATAGAAGAGGAAAGAGATAAGTTATGAAAGAATATTACACACAAAAGCTGAAGAAACGCTACAACAAAACAACATTTATTCACATGCGGTTCAGCAATACAAGCATATCTGCATCAGCCTGCAGTTCAGCCACACTATCAACATACAGTTCAGCCACCCAGCCGAATCGGTAAGCCCTCTTAAACCCTGACCGAACCTACTTTTACTTATTTTTATTTCTTACTTTTTGAAAGCTGCCATAACCCCTTTCTAAACCCAAAACCTGTTCGTGTAAGCCTTATAAATAGCACATAACAACTGTAATTCAGAGGATGGAAAGAAATTTTCTACTTCTTTCAACTTCTTCTTCCCTTTAGTTCACACCTACTCTAAAGATGCCTTCTCCTTCTTGGCCTCCAAGAAGGTTAACAAATGGTGATCTCGTTGCACTGATCTACAGCCAAAACATGGGCATTTGTTTTTCCCTTCAACTAGTTGCGGTACAGCAAACTTGCTGAAGCTGCCCTTGTCACCAACTCCTATTTCAAGACCAGGCAAATAATTGTTTTCTCCTACCGCCGAATCTTCATCATCTTCAGACGGCTATATTGATGTCCAGAACATCCCATTGCCGCCTGTACTTGAAATTCCAGACCAATTTGCATTGCAAGAAGCCATCAGGTTCTCCATTACCACTGTTTTCTGTCAATCGCTGCAGTTTTCTCTTCCTATAAACAGCCTTCTAATTTCTGCTTTTCCACAGCTGCAGTTTCTTGGACTCAAGAACTCCATCTTGGACCATATCAAGTCACCTCCAGGCTCCGGCAATCTTTCAATTGGATCTAAAAAAGGGGGTTCAGCAGAGAAAATGATTGGCAAATCAAATTCGGTCATTGATCCAACATGAATAATGCAGATTTGGCAAATCAAACCACTTCTTGGCCTCCAAGAAGCTTAAAATACACTACCTTAGGTCTTAGTGTAGGATTCACGACACAGGTAATATGATCTCTCAAGTGGTAGCAAAATGTTATTTGGGTGTGAGTTGGGCTCAAGTAGCAAGGTGCGAGACATCTAGTCTCGGTGAAAGAGGAATAGACCAAGGGCATTCTAATTTGGATCCGGACAGTAGTTCTACTCATATGTCTTTAGATGATGGAAAATGTTTGGCTAAAGAGGTGGAGCATTGTGTGTTTCTATCTGCTATGGAACTTGATAATGTCTTGGAGCTATGGAGAGATGCTTTAATTGGTTGTCTACTAGGAAAACCACTAGCAGTAGAAGTGATGAGTTGGTTAGTTCATCTAAGCATAAAATAGTGTACTTTAGATGGCTATATGATGGTATTTCTGAATGAAGTTTGCTTCATCTTTAACTTTGAAAGAGAGTCAGAACAGATTTTTTTTGTTTTTTTTTTATCATTTTTTTATAGAGTCGGAACAGATCGTAATTGGATGAAGTGGTCGTGAACAATTGCCGGACAAATCCTTGCTTTAGAAGCATTAGGCTTCATTTTCATCAGTCCCAACTTTCTTTGGTTGGGTGAATCTTCAATATAATCTCAAGGGAATATAATATAGAGTTTTCAATCATGTATTCATGGCATGCAAAGTGGTTAGAGATCTCACTTACACATTGGTTGATTATTCATCTGTGCTATGGTGCGTACAAAACTATCTTAGCTGGTTAGATTGAGTATTAATTGGTCATCTCTTTGGAATGGGCAACATATTATCAAAAGGTAAAAGAGATTCAACTTTACTTACATTCTCAATGGCTAAGGAAAAGGCTTTTCTTTTTGTTATGAAATCTAGAAAGCCAAAATGAACTAGCATTTTAAGGTTAGTTATGGTAGATCCGAATTTGTCAGTGGATAACACGTAACTTTTCTAGCAAGCAATATTTTAGATAGGAATTAGATAACCTAGCAAGACTTCGATAATTATTGATCGTGAAAGAGAAAGAGGGTGGAATGTACAATATGTTTAGAAAAAATCTCAAAATCTTGAATATGCCAAAAGATCTTCGAAGTATCATAGGATCCCAAATGTACCTCTTCACTCTTTATTTATATGGCTTGGAGGACTATAGGAAAGGCTATAAATAATCAGGGGCGGATCCAGCTTTTTTCAGGGTGGGCAAAAATATTTTTTTTGTGGAGGATGGGCAAAGATGCTTAGGATTTATAAAATGAGGGCAAAAATTTTTTTTGAGAGGGGGAAAAATGCCAAAAATACCCAAAATATTCCAAACAATCCCTCTAAAATAAAAAATAAAAAAATTTTTTTTTTGGGGGGGGGGGGGGCATTTGCCCCCCCTCAAGTCAATGGGGGTCCGCCCATGTAAATAATGAAAAAGTAAAAACTACAACTACAATATTTAGTAACCACCAATTACAGACTCTACATGACATGTGACAAAAGCTGGCACGTGCTTGTGTGGTTCTATATTTTTCAATATAAGACCTCAGTCTCAAGAATAAAAATGCGGGGTGAGTTGCCCAAGAAGAGTCCTTTGAAAAAGATCATGTAAGGCAAGTTTATGTGGACTAGTCCTTCGCACATGGAGGTGAGTTCTTGGGGGTATTATGGCCTCTGAATGCAATGGGCCGGTCCATGGGAGTGATGATGACCGTGAGTTGAGAATTGTTCGCATCCAAGGAAGACCATTGAGGTGTGTGCTTCTTGTAACTAAATTGGGAGTTGTCAGCAAGAGCTTGATGGCTCTTTCGATGGCGAAGATCTCAATAGGCTGATCTCTATCAAGATGAGTGCCCTACTAGTGTTTGAAAGATAGTGCAGAAGTTCCTTGGTATGGGTACTTAGGGTGAGGTGACTCATTGATTTAGTTGATTTGGATGAGTCACTTCTCCTGTTGGAGAGCGCTTTAAGTAGGTGATGTAACTGTTTTAGACGAGTTCTCTTGGAACCTATTAGGTACCTATGAAATACCTCCATTGACATGTATGAATATACAAAATGTGTTTGAGAGCAATAACATTTATTATGGTTCATCAGCTATGTTGCACCGATACACCTATTTATGAAGCCATGTTGTATCGGACATGTGTCGGACACAGATACATGTCTGATACGGCACCGATACGTGTCGGATACATCAAAGCCGTATTCAATTAAAATACTATTTAATTTCAAAAGGACACGCATATCGTTGGTTGAAAGACGAAAAAAATTTGAAAAAAGACGCATTATATTTACTTCCGCGGTTGCGAGCAAGGTTCTCTCATTTTCAAACCCCCGAGCCATTTACATTTATGTTAGTTTACTAGAAAATAGGATATTAGGGCATCAAATTATTTTGCATTTGTAATGCTTTGATTTTTATTTCATGTATTACAAAAATTATGTTATTGTGGATTGCATCTCTTCTTAAATGGGAAAAAAAGAAGTTTAACTCTCATATGGTATTCAGTAAACATGCAACCAAATCATGCAACAACATAATTAGTGGAATCATGCCGCAAAATTCTTATTAGGCAATGAGTTTTAACTCTTCCCTTGATTCAATGCTTACTTTTATTTTGATATTATAAGCTACTAGGATACAAATGATGTTGCTTTCATTTTTTTTTTTTGTCATTTCAAATATTATACTTTGATTGTTTTCTTAATTTTTGTGTATGATTTATAAATAATAATGTCGTGTCTGTGCCGTACCCGTATCTTGTATTTTTAAGAATTAATGTGTCCCGTATCCGTATCGTTAGTGCAATATAGTTCATCGGATATAGGAGTTTATTACTTCATAATATTTTTTTATTTTTAAAGAATAATTTTAAAACAAACAAAAAATAGGAATACTGAAAGAACAATTAACAAGAATTGATAGAGACAAATCAAAGAAAAATACATGAGGCAAAATAAAAATACC